GGGAAAGAGAGGCATCAGGGATAAATATGTATGAATGTATGTATGAACATACCCCAATTTTGTATCCATTCTACTGTTGATGGGAATTTCAGCGGTTTATACCATAGAGCTATTATGAGTAATACCATTATGAACCTTCTTGTACATGTCTTTTAATGTAAATATGTATGCGTCGCTGTTGGATACATATCAAAAAGAATTGCTGAGTCACAGGGTAAATATACACTCAGTTTTAGTAGATAATGCCAAACAGTTTTCCAAGGTGTTTATATTGAATTATTTTCCTACTAGCAATATATGAGCATTCCAGATCATATATATCTTTGTCAACACTTGATATTTCCTTTTGTTTGTTTGTTTTGCCATCCTGAAGACTCTCTTGTGGTAGCTCTTTGTGGGTTTAATTTCTATTTCCCTGATCACTCATAAAGTTGAGCAGTTGTTTTGATATGTGTATTGGTCACTTTTGTAAAGTGATTTAGAACTTTAACATTTCTTTTTTTTTTTATGGGTTGTCTTTCTTTTTCTTAGTTATTTATAGGAATTATGTACGTATTCTGGGTTCTAATTTTTTATCAGTTATATGTATTACAAATAATTTTTTTATTCTATGGCTTGGTATTTCATTCTCCTACTGGTGTCTTTGTTTTTAACTAAACTTTTGATTTTGAGATAATTGTAGATTCACATGCAGTTGTAAGAAATAATACAACGAGCTCCTTTGTACTCTTAACTCAATTTTTCCCAATGATAATATATTGCCAAACTATAGTACAATATGACGACTGAAATATTGATTCAGCCAAGATACTGAACATTTTCACCACAAGGATTCCTCATGTTGTCTTTTTATAGCCACAGCCACTCCCCTCTCACCCCACACCCCTTTAAACCCTGGCAACCACTAATCTGTTCTCCATTTCTATAATTTTATCATTTCAAATATGTTAGATAAATGGACTCATACAATGTGTAACATTTTGGGTTTTTTTTTTAACACTCAGCATAATTCTCTGGAGATTTTATCCAGGTTGTTGCTTATATCAGTAGTTTATACCTTTTTACTGCTGACTAGTAATCCACAGTATGAGTGTACCACAGTTGTTAAACCATTCACCAGCTGAAGGATGTATGGGTTGTTTCCAGTTTTTGGCTACTATGAATAAAGTTGCTATAAACATTTGTGTACAGGTTTTTGTATAAACATATGTTTTCATTTCTTTAAGATAAATGCCCAGAGCATAATTGCTGGATCTCATGGTAGTTGCATACTTATTTCCTCTACATACACTTAGAGCCACATCAGACAGTGTTATAATTTTTGTTTCAAACATCATATATAATTTAGAAAACTCAAGAGGAAAAAGGAAGTCTATTGTTTTTACCCATATTTTTGTTTTACCATGTTCTTTCTTCTTTTCTGATGTGCCAAGATTCCTTCTTTTATCATTTCCCTTCAATTTAGAGAATTTTCTTTAGCCATTGCTTAGGGTCATTATACTAGTGACCCTAAATTATCTTAATTTTTCTTCATCTTAGAATGTCTTGATTTCTCCTTTATTCCTAAAGGATATCTTCACTAGATATAAGATTCTGGGTTGACGGTGCTTTTCTTTCAGCACTTAAAAAAACTGTGCCACTTTCTTTTCTTCTCCATGGTTTCTGATGAGAAATCCACTGTCTTTTGAATTTTTTCCTCATGTAGGTAAGGTGTTGTTTTTCTCTTCCTGATTTCAAGAATTTTCTCTGTCTTTAGTTTTTAGAAGTCTGACTGTGTCTTAGTGTGGATTTCTTTGGTTTGATCCTGTTTGGGTTTGGCTCATCTTGAAGCTGTAGGTTTATATATTTTGCCAAATTTTGGAAGTTTTCAGCCAGTATTTCTTTGAGTACATTTTTCAGCTTTGCCCTCTATTGTTTCTCCTTCTGGGCTACAATGATACAAATGTTAGAGCTCTTGCTACAATCCCACAAGTCCTTGAGGCTCTGTTAATCTCTTTCCCCTAGTCTTTTTCTCTCCATTGATCAGACTGGGTAATTTCTATTTTTCTGTCTTCTAGTTCAGGGGTCCCCAGCCCCCAGGCCGCAGACCGGTACGAGTCCATTTCCGGTCCGTGGCCAGTTAGGAACCAGGCTGCACAGCAGGAGGAGACTGGCAGGTGAGTGAGCAAGCGAAGCTCTGTCTGCCACTCCCCATCCCTCCCCATTACTCGCATTACCATCTGAAGCATCCCCCCACCCCATCTGTGGAAAAATTGTCTTCCACAAAACCGGTCCCTGGTGCCCGAAAGGTTGGGGACCGCTGTTCTAGCTCACTGATTCCCCTGCCCCCTACATTCTGTTGTTGAGCCATTCACTGAATTTGTATTTAGATGACCATAGTTTTCTGTTCCAAAATTTCAATTTGTTAAAAAATGTACACTTAAAAATGGTTAAGATGGTAAATGTATTGTGGGGTTTTTTTTTGTTGTTTCTTTGATTGTTTTTTGCCACACCACACAGCCTGTGGGATCTTAGTCCCCCAACCAGGGATTGAACCGGGACCACAGCAATGAAAGTGCTGAGTCCTAACCACTGCACCACCAGAGAATTCCCTGTTACATGTATTTTTTAGAATATTTTATTTATTTATTTATTTATTTATTTGGTTGCGCTGGGTCTTAGTTGCAGCAGGCATGCTCCTTAGTTGCAGCTTGCTGGTTCCTTAGTTGTGGCACATGGGCTCAGTTGAGGCAGGTGGGCTTCTTAGTTGTGGCATGCAAACTCTTAGTTGCAGCATGCATGTGGGATCTGGTTCCCTGACCAGGGGTGGAACCCAGGCCCCCTGCATTGGGAGCATGAGTTTAACCACTGCGCCACTAGGGAAGTCCCTATTATGTGTATTTTAACACAATTAAAAAATTCAACTTGGTTCCTCTTTATATATTCTATTTCTTTGTGGAATCTTTCTATTTCTTTGCTGAGTTTTTATATTTTTTATTTGTTTCAAGTGTTTCTGTAATTGCTTGTGGAACATTTTTATGATGGCTGCTTTAAAACTTTTGTCAGGTAAATTCTAAGATCTCTGTCATCTCAGTGCTGGTATCTATTCCTTGTTTTTTTATTCAGTTTAACATCTTCCTGTTTCTTGGTATGGTGAGTGATTTTCAATAGAAACTTTGACATGGTGGGTATTATGTTATAAGACTCTGGTTCTTATTTAATCTGTTTTATCTGGTTCCTCTGACACTCCTATTAATTCCCTATGCATCTGAGGAATAAGCCAAATTAGCTATGATATATCATCCTGTTTATGTATTGCT